ATACCTTTCCCAAAGGGTATTTTAAGGGTATAAGCACTGGAATTCGAACTCGGCTCTCCGATTCCTCAATCCGAGCCGCTATCTATTACTCCATCGTGCTTCCTAATATATATATATATATATATATATATATATATATATATATATATATATATATATATATATATATATATATATATATATATATATATATATATATATATATATATATATATATATATATGTGTGTGTGTGTGTGTGTGTGTATATATATATTACAATAAACGTGCAATCAATTTACAAATACATGAATTATTCACACAAAACTAATTCAAAGGTTAATGATTTAAATGTTGTTCTTGTTTTTTTCTCTTAGTAATAAGAGGACATCGAAAATATATGTGTTATTGTATCCGAAATGCTATTGAAAATGAGTTATTGGTTTTTGAACGCGCCAAAGCAACGCTGAGTTTTTAAAATTACTTATTACTAAGAGAAAAAAAACAAGAACAACATCTATTATATACCTGAAGATGTCTGTAGGAACAGACGAAAGCTTGTAGTAAAAATAACAACTAATACGGCAGAAATTTATATAAACAAGGATCAATTCATTCATAACGGATCTGGAGGTTTTTGTGTACTATTTGAATTGTTTGCGATGATGGATGTCTCGCCATTTAAATCATTAACCTTTGAATTAGTTTTGTGTGAATAATTCATGTATATATATATATATATATATATATATATATATATATATATATATATATATGCTAATTTCTTAAAATAAGACAATGTATGTATGGAGAAGGAATATACACATATTAGCAAAAAATGCACACGCAATACACAAAAATGGAAATAGATCTAAGAACATACAGGGGTCATTAAAAGATAAGAATACATATATCTTTTCTTTATTCTTTCTCAGACCAATCTTAATTGTTTTATTTCCCTTCAAGTAGAAGAACTTTTTCACTATCAGTCTAAGTGAGACATTTTTGTCTCACTTTTTTTCGCAAAAAAGAGAATGCTTGACATCGAAAAACATAAGGAATATTAATTCATTTTATTTATATGTGAAAATATCCACTCTTTGCCTGAAGAAGGTCATGAGACCCGAATCACGTGTTGCAAATTATGCAAAATAAAGCCTAAAATATATTTAAAAAAATCCACATTACAACCAAAAACGTTTGCGGTTTCTTTCTTCTTTATAAGATATACACTTTTCTCTCGTTGGAGCAACTATAACCTCTTACATTATATATATATATATATATATATATATATATATATGCATGTTTCATTAAAAACGACAGACAAGGTGCTACGGTTGAGCTTTTTATTTAATTTTTCTTGTGTTCTAACAAGAGCTTTCTTTTCTGGACAAAGGGTGTGTAAGAACTGTCCAAATGTTTTATATTTCCGAGCGCTTTCGGCTATACCTTTAGCCATTATCAAGGATGATTCGATTTTTCAGCTTACTTGAGTGTGTGCGTTCTGTGTATGTCTTAGTGTGTGGTAGGGATGTTTTTAATTTCCGAATATGGTTAGCACATTGTGGCCTTGTTCGTAGTTAATATTGTTAAGAGTTGGCTTTTTCTTTTTTATTATTAAGGCTTCCATTATTTTTAGTCTTTTTTGCAGGTGGATGCAGTTAATATATTTGCGTTTTCTACTAGTATGTTCCTAATGGAGTCGGGTAAATTTGTGTGTGTGTTTAAATGGGTTCTAATGGAGCTGTGATCAGATAGGTATGGTTGTGTAACCGATGTAATTATTTATGAGTCCGGTTTGATCAGGAATACAGTTCCTTAAGGGGCATTTGAACTCATAGATAATGTTCGTTCTTTATAATTTTGACTTAGCTGGTGTGTTGTTATTTTTGAGGATAAGGTTAGCTGTCTAAATTTTTTATAATAGATAATTAATTTGATTTTTTTTTATTCGGATCAATAGGAGTAGTATATTTCTTCATAATATGCCTTAGAGAAGATTCGTCTTGTTTGTAATTAATATGCATTTGGTTTTTGTAATAAATGTGTATTTGGACAGTTCTTACACACCCTTTGTCCAGAAAAGAAAGCTCTTGTTCGAATACAAGAAAAATTAAATAAAAAGCTTAACCGTAGTACCTTGTCTGTCGTTTTTAATGAAACATGCATAAAGGAAGGATTGCTGCCTAAATATACAACTATATATATATATATATATATATATATATATATATATATATATATATATATATATAATGAAATGGAAAAAAGTCCGACAATTATCAATTATTTTATTTTATTTACTTAAATATTTGCATCTATAAAAAGAATGTTAAACATAAAAATGTCTTTATATATATATATATATATATATATATATATATATATATATATATATATATATATATATATATATATAGGTGAAGAAAAATATACGGAAAAAAACAAACAAAAATCCTAATATGCTGTTTTAATGTTAATATAATGTCAACGTCGGACGTTTCTGTCAAATAGACCATCTTCAGGACATATTCATAAAACATAAAAACATAATTAACATTAGATCATATACAATTCAACATGAAAAAGACGATGGACATAAAAGCTATACCAATCCAAACAGATAAATGAAATCTTAAATAAGATCAGCGTTCCGTTTAAATATGATCACGTCGTCGTCACGTGGGCGATGTTGTGAAAACGTATTCCTAAAATTTGAGTATTTTGAATGAAAAACGAAAAGAATTTTATTTTGATCTAAAACTTATATATATATATATATATATATATATATATATATATATATATATATATAAATTAATTGATTTAAAATATCTTTTTTTCGCTACACAGTTCTAACCATGTTTCAAAATGGAAGCTAAAAGCCACGAATTTAATTTTGCAATTAAATTAAAGACATTAGTTCCATTTCATCCTCAAGCGAATTTTGGAGTAACTTTTAAAATTACTGGGTTTTAAAGACACAGCTAAAATCCCGTTTCCATGGTTACAGATAAATCTACTTCAAGTGGACAAGCTTTTGTAAAAATTAAAATATCTACAAGAACACCGGATTATATATCTTACTGTTCTTTATATATATATATATATATATATATATATATATATATATATATATATATATATATATATATATATATATAACGGAATAAAATAAAATAAAAATGCTATTAATACTTGTAGATAATTATTTATTAAACGAAACGTGATTATTTGGCTTTTCAAGTGTTGTGAGGAATCCGTGTCGTAAGTGGAGAATTGGCGTGTATAAATCGTCGTCGTTGTGGGGGGGGGGAACTCGTTGCCGCGTCTTGGATCTGAAGAGACGTCCGTAGCCACCGCCTGATAGACTAGGAAGGATCAGGGAATGGCGAGCTCTGGCTTTTCTTTAGGCTCTGTTCGTTTCTTCTCTTCATCTTCTGGTGTTTTCGAAGGATGCTGGACTGTTCTTTTCCAATTGGTTCTTTCTGCAGTTTCCTTCTCCCAATTGATCGAATCGATTTCTGTCTCCAGTCTTTTTGAGCTGATCCTTGAATCGACGACGTGGGGCTCCACGTAGTCTCATTCCAGACGCGATCTCCTGGAAGAGGATTTGTTTTGGGGTAGGCGGATGTCTGACATTCGGGCAAGGTGTCCAGCCCATCGATGTCGGTGACATGTCATGGTCGTTTCTACGCCCTTATATCTTTGAAGATCAAAGCTGACTGGGAAGCAAGAAGACGCATGAGAGTTCCTCAACTATTACCTGTCATGTCATGTACACTGAGTGGACGCCGTCCTCATCTTCTTCATATTCCATTGGCGAGGAAGACGTTCCACTTAGTTACTTTCACAGAACTGTTGTATTGTAAAACGGACTCTCGAGGGGAGTCCCAGATCATTACAATCTTAGCCTTTTCAGAGAGGGGCAAACTTTATCTATCCTACATATCGCGAGGAAAGTTGGCTCTCTGTGCCGCGCCAGGAAAATTTTCTCCCCTGAATCGATACTTCAAATATACAAAACAACCATTCGCCCTTGCATGGAGTATTGCTGCCATATATGGGCTGGAGCACCTTCTGCTTACCTCGGAGTTCTTGACAAGATCCAGAGACGGATATGTAATCTAATTGGCCCTGATCTAGCGTCTTGTCTGCAGTCACTCTCTCACAGACGCGCCGTCGCCTCTCTCTGTCTTTTCTACAAATACTTCCATGGTAACTGCTCTGATGAGCTGCTTTCACTGGTTCCCAGACTCCATGAATTCAAGCGCCCTACGAGGCTGGCATCTCGCTCTCACCCTTACACCGTAGAAACTTTCAAATATAGCCGTCTCTTCTACTCCAATAGCTTCATATCTCGCACCTCTCGCCAGTGGAACACCCTCCCTAATTACTGTTTCCCTGAAAGCTATAATCTCCAACTATTCAAATGTAATGTCAATCGACATCTCCAGTTACCTTGATCTACCCACTATCCTTCTACTCATCCTTTCTCCTATGACTCCTATCTGCTCTCGCTCCAAATCTTCCGCACACCCCTGCATCCTAGTGGCTTCACGCCTTGCTTGGGGCGTAATGCTTAATATATATATATATATATATATATATATATATATATATATATATATATATATATCAGCATAATGTGTTCCCTTAACTTCCTTCCTTTACGCCCTTACAACATTCTCATTTTTTAACCCTCTAGATTGAGTGGCTCTTGGGCCTTATATTGGGCTGAGCAAGAGTAAAAAAAATGTATATAGATAAATGTACATGTCCATATCATCGGTGTGGTTGTGTGTGTGTGTGTGGACAAAGCTATATTGGGTACAGTGTACACACAAACCTATATTGGGTACAGTGTGCACACAAAGCTATATTGGGTACAGTGTACACACAAACCTATATTGGGTACAGTGTACACACAAACCTTATACGGTTAGCGATACATTAAACAATAACAAGTATTAACATAGAAACAGAACCCGTCGGGCCATCTCCAGCAAAGGCAAGCGCATGCAAGCCGAGTTAATCGTAACAAGAGAAAGAAAGGAAGCGAAACACAGACTGTTCTCTCGGTCTCTATCGTTCATTGGGTATAGCATCAAAAAGAAAGGTAGCATCTGTTGTTCCTGCTTGTCTTTTGAAACAATCGCCTATAATTTTCCCCTGGGAATCGACGCCCAGTTGGCCGACTCACTGCGTGGAGTTTTCCGACCCTTCGTCGTAGATGTCACAGCAGAAAGATAATCTCTCATTTGCATACAGGTGCTGGCAATTGGTGCTTTTTTTTTTTCTTCATCTTTACTTTTGATTCTCTTTCGTTTTTCATACTTCCTTGTCTTCTCTTCTTTTTTGGTCAGCTTATCTATCTATCTATCTATCTATCTATCTATCTATCTATCTATGTTTCGTTGATTGTTTCTTTTTTCTTTTCCTTTGTTTATCGCTTCTTTCATTCTTTTGTTTTCGTATTTTCTTTATTTCTTTCTATTGCATATTGCTCCTATCTTTTTCTTTTTGTTTTATTCCTTTACGACAGTATTTTATTTTCATTCTTTCTTTCTTTCTTTTTTTCTTTCTTTCTTTTTTTCTTTCTTTAATTTGAGTATTTTCTTTTTTTTTTGACGTCTACTGCCTTGTTTTTTTTTCTGTCTTCCTTTTATTCATGCTTATTTGCTTACTATCTTTTCTGATTCTTATTTATTGTTACTCTCTTCATATCTTTCTTTCTTTCTATCTTTCTTTCTTTCTTTCTTTCTTTCTTCCTTTCTTTCTTTCTTTTTTTCTTTTCATCATTGTTTTTCTATTTTTCTCATTTCTTACATTTGGATTTTCTTTGTTGTGAATTTTTCTTTTTTTCTTTCTTTCTTTCTTTCTTTCTTTCTTTCTTTTCTTCTTTCTTTCTTATTTTCTGGTTTTTTCTTTCTTTACTGTTGATTTTTCTTTCTTTCTTTCGCTCTTTCTTTCTTTGTTGTTCCTTGCTTTTTTATTTCTTTGTTATACAAGTTCTTTCCGTCATTCTTTTTCTTCCTTTCTCATTTCCTACGTTTTGCTTCCTTTGTTATCGATTTTTCTTCTTTTCTCTTTTCGTTCTTTCTTTCTTTCTTTCTTTCTCATTTACAGATTATTTTTTTTCTTTACTGTTGATTTATCATTCTTCTTACTTACTTTGTAGTTTTTTTAGTTTTTTCTTTCGTTTTTGCTGCTGCTTTTTTCTTTCTTTCTCATTTCCTACGTTTTCATTTCTTTGTTATGAATTTTTGTTTGTTTGTTTGTTTGTTTGTTTGTTTGTTTTTTCTTTCTTTCTTTCTTTGTCGTTCATTACTTTTTATTTCTTTTTTATGTTGAGTTTCTTTCTTTTCATCGTTTTTTTTCTTTCCTTTCATTTCCTACGTTTAGATTTCTTTGTTGTTAATTTTTATTTCTTTCTTTCATTTTTCATGCCTACATCTTTCGTTTTATTTAATTCCTTCTTTACTTTATTTTTCTTTCTGTCTTTCTTTATCATTTCTTGTTTTTTTTCTTTGTCGTTCCTTACTTTTTTATTTCTTTGTTGTTGAATTTTGTTTCTTTTCATAATTCTTTTTATTCTTTTCTGTTTCTTACTTTTTAATTTTTTGTTGGTGATTTTTCTTTCTTTCTTTTTTCTTTATTTCTTTGTTTTTGAATTTCTTTCTTTTTTTTCATTCGTTTTTCTTTCTTTCTTATTTCACATGTTTTGACTTTTTGTTGTCGATTTTTGATTCTTTTTTTCTTCCCTTCTTTCTTTCTTTTTTTTTCTTTTTTCATTCCCTACATCTTTCGTTTTATTTTATTTTTGTAGCCTTTCATTATTTTCTTTCTTTTTCTTTCTTTGTCTCTCATTTCCAGCTTTTTTCTTTATTTATTGTTTTTCTTTCTTTCTTTCTTTCTTTCTTTGTCGTTCCTTAGTTTTTTATCTCTTACTTTGTTGCTGAATTTCTTTCTTTCCGTCATTGTTTTTTCATTCTTTGCATTTCCTAAGTTTTGATTTCTATATTGTGGATTTTTCATTCTTTCTCTTTTTTATCTTTCTTTCATTCCCTATATCAGTCGTTTTCTTTATTTTTTGTTGTAGAATTTCATTCTTTTTTTCATTTTTCTTTTTTTCTTGCTCTCTCATTTGAAGCCTTTTCTTTCTTTATTGTTGATTATCCTTTCTTTCTTTCTTTCTTTCTTTCTTTCTTTCTTTCTTTCTTTCTTTCTTTTCCTTTTTTTTATTTTTTTTCTTTGCTGTTGAATTTCTTTCTTTCAGTCATTCTTTCTTTCCTTCTTTCTCATTTCCTACGTTTTGATTTCTTTGTGGTGGATTTTTCTTTCTTTCTTTCTTTCTCATTTCCTGATTTTTCTTTTCTTATTACGGATTTTCTTTCTTTCTTTCTTTCTTTCTTTCTTTCTTTCTTTCTTTCTTTGCTACTTATTCCGCCATAATTTCTTTCTTTCTTTCTTTCTTTCTTTCTTTCTTTCTTTCTTTCTTTCTTTCTTTTGCTACTTATTCCGCCATAATTTCTTTCTTTCTTTCTTTCTTTCTTTCTTTCTTTCTTTCTTGTTCCTTACTTTTTTATTTTTTCTTTGCTGTTGAATTTCTTTCTTTCAGTCATTCTTTCTTTCTTTCTTTCTCATTTCCTACGTTTTGATTTCTTTGTGGTGGATTTTTCTTTCTTTCTTTCTTTCTCATTTCCTGATTTTTCTTTTCTTATTACGGATTTTCTTTCTTTCTTTCTTTCTTTCTTTCTTTCTTTCTTTCTTTCTTTCTTTGCTACTTATTCCGCCATAATTTCTTTCTTTCTTTCTTTCTTTCTTTCTTTCTTTCTTTCTTTCTTTCTTTCTTTGATACTTATTCCGCCATAATTTCTTTCTTTCTTTCTTTCTTTCTTTCTTTCTTTCTTTCTTTCTTTCTTGTTCCTTACGTTTTTATTTTTTCTTTCTTTCTGTCATTCTTTATTCCTTCTTTCACATTTCCTACGTTTTGATTTCTTTGTAGTCGATTTTTCTTTCTTGCTTTCTTTCTTTCCTTCTTTCTTTCTTTCTTTCCTTCTTTCTTTCTTTCTTTCTTTCTTTCTTTCTTTCTCATTTCCTGATTTTTCTTTCTTTCTTTCATTCAGTCTTTCTTTCTTTGTCGTTCCTTATTTTTATCTTTATTTCTTTGTTGTTGAATTTCTTTCTTTTCGTTATTGTTTTTTTTCTTTTTTTAGTTTATACGTTTTGATTTTATGGTTGTCGATTTTTCCTTCTTTCTTTCCTTCTTTCCTTCTTTCTTTCTTTCTTTCTTTTTTTCTTTTTTCATTCCCTACATCTTTCGTTTTATTTATTTCTTTTTTGTAGATTTTCATTATTTCTTCATTTTTTTTTCTTTGTCTCTCATTTCCAGCTTTTCTTTCTTTATTATTGATCTTTCTTTCTTTCTTTGATTTCCCTTACTTTTCTATTTTTTTCTTTTTGTTGAATTTCTTTCTTTCCGTCACTGTTTTTTCTTTCTTTCTCATTTCTTACGTTTTATTTCTTTGTTGTGAATTTTTCTTTCTTTCTTTCTTTCTTTCTTTCTTTCTGCTTTTTTTATTTTCTTATTGCTGATTTTCTTTCTTTCTTTCTTTCTTTCTTTCTTTCTTTCTTTCTTTCTGCTTTTTTTATTTTCTTATTGCTGATTTTTCTTTATGTTTTTCTTTCTTTTCTTCTTTCTTTCTGGCTTTATTTGTCATTAACCGTAGCTGAGAGTACAGAAGAGATAGATTCATGAATTTCGCAAGAATTTTCTTATGAGAAATCGAACGCCACAGACGAGGCCAGAACTTGAAACCGGCTCGCTGATTTCATTTTTCAAGCCGACAACTGTCACACTACATTCACAACACAAAATCAGATTTTGTTTTAATGGACTATCCCTTCAAGACTTAAGCGATTTACTTTTCTTTATTATCTGTGAATTACTATCGGAATGATCGGAGAATGGTTTTCCGCTGTCTTCAGAGTTCTCTCAGACTGGTTGACACTCAAGGCTATACAACCCAGTCTTCTCTGTTGTTTAACACATAACTATGTGTTAAATAACAGAGAAGAGTGAGGCCGGTGAAGAGATAAGCTTCAAGGTTTTTTTTTAAGGGCATTTGGGTTAAAATGAACGCAGGAGGTTAAGATGGAATTTGAACTCAGCACACCTACACCGGTTTCAGCGCTGATAATCGTTACGTCACCAGTTACCTTTGTAGAGTACTGTAGATTTTATGCGTATAATAAAACACAGTCGGTCGACCAGAAGTAAGAGTATACAGGATATGGTAGAAGTACCTCCCACATAATCATTGGCAATGGTGTCTTCATCTAGCTCAGGGCTTCTTAACCTGGAGTCTATGAATTGTCTTCAGGCGCTCCGTGAGGATCAGATAAAAATTAACATTTATATTTGCTATACAATCAACGGTTTCCCATTGAACGAAATAAAAGCATATGTATCCTGCCACTGCATGAAAGAAAACGCATCCAGCCAATACTGACAGTGTCGACCGCTATGCGTCTCTTGACTTGCTGTTAGGTCCCTGTATACCATTTAAACATATGGCGTCATTCCCTGCACGGCTGCCATCTTTTACTTACCATTCCATAAGGGCTAGTGATAATTTTCATGTTCCCTGGTTTATCACGGTTGTGATATCAACAAATACTCGTTGTCACTTTCGTAATGCTCGTTGTAGTAGAGACTTTGTAATCGCAGATACAACTATAGTAACGCCGTTGAACAATACTGGTGTCAGACGCCTTCGAATATCACTCGCACTAATAGTACTTGCTCGTTAATACTCGCTCGAATTGTAATCTGTATAGTGATCCGAATAGAGAAATAATATAGTGAATAGAGTAGAGAATAGCGGTCCTTATAGTAATAAAGGATAGAGTAGAAATGGCGATCCGAAGCGTAATAGAGGACAGACTAGAAATGACGATCAGTTTGTAATAGAGGATAGACTAGAAATGGCGATACGTTTGTAATAGAGGATAGACTAGAAATGTCGATCCGTTTGTAATAGAGGATAGACTAGAAATGGCGATTAATTAGACACACTCTACCTCCCATATTTGCGTTCACTCTATAGTCACGTGGTCTATTTAATTCAATAATGGGATCGCTTGTGTTTGCTTACTGGTGATCTATGTTCAAATTCAAGTGTTGGCAGCGACACTTTACTCCTATATAACAATGTCATATACTGGTGAAGATTAATTGACCATAGTTTCCGTCAAGGTGGTTGGCTGAAAAGTGAAGTGTGTGCATGAGGGAGAGTTCTGTATACAGAAATGCACGTACAAGTGTTGTGAAAAACAATCAGGGCTCTATTATTTGATTGTCTGTCTGTCTGTCTGTCTATGAAGGGCTAGTTCTTATAGGAGTCCGTGACTCAACGCATCCGTGACTCAAAAAAGGTTAAGAACCGCTGATCAAGCTAATGGCTTACCATTATGTGCAAGGTAATTCGGGGAGGTATATGTATAGACAGGTGAAGACCAGCATATGTTTGAAATTAGTAGTTAAAGTGAACGCTTGCTGTAGAGCTACGTACACCATTGACAGTGCATGACATTAAGCATCAAAGAACACCCACGTTGCCATTTGCCAGATGAGGGTAATTTTAATAGTTATGAATATAATGCGCCTACCGTGGACTCAGGGTTAGCAAGCGATAATCTGAGTCCCGTCTATTCTACTATTTAACCTATAGCAAGAGGTAGAAGAGATGGATTCATATATTTCCAAAGGTGTAATGAAAGGTAACCGGAATGAAAAATCGGAGTGCTGCGTTCGAATTCAAGTGGTGCTTGTTACAATCGTTTAATTCGTATGATTCCGTCCCTAACTCGGCTTCGGTCTACACGCACACACTTTGATGAGCCATATTGAAAAACTGGTTAAAGCTATTATCGTTTCTTAATTAATAACGTGTAATAATGAGAATGAGACATCGGATAGCCGAGTTCAAATTCCAATCAGGTTCGTTACTTTCGCGCGTGCGCGATCGATCGCAAATCCCGTAAGCGTCGTAGGGGCACCACATGCACTTCATCCGCAGTAGAAACGGTATTTCTTGGGCAGGACGGTTTTAAATTCAGAGTTTCCTTCTCCTACATCGGTTGCCACCCAAGGCTATAAAACTCAGTCTGACCGTGAAATTTACCCATAGCTGGAGAAGAAGCGGATTGACACGTTCCCAAGGGCATTACACGAATGTAATGGATCCGATTCCGAACCGCTATCCATTATATCATCGTGCCCCCGTCGTTACATTACGCGCAAATACACTTGGTAAAGGTATGAATCAATGAGTTTGAATAGCAGGACAGACTGGGTTCTATAGCCTTGGTTGGCAGTCTACCGCAGAAAGAAATGGCAACCTACTGCAGGAAAATCTACTGCCTAGTCAGTCATGAATCGAAAGAGACATGATCGTCCAATCTTGTATCACGTATGGTACCTGAAAGTTTCAACGATGATTTAGGTGAGAAAGTTGTGAAGAGACATGATCGCACAATCGTGTATCCCGTATGACACTAGACTTGACATAATCCATTGCATCATCCGGATGTATCATTACACCACCCGCACACCGAAGGTAAATTACCTGCTATTAGTTTTTTTTTTTTTTTTTTTTTTTTTGATAATTTTCTTTTTCTCAATTAAAGAAACGAAATTTGAATAAATACGAAAATGACCTTGAAATGATTATGGTGTATGTGTGTGTGTGTGTGTGTGTGCGTGCGTGTGTGTGTGTGTGTGTATTTTAGGGTTGCAATTGACAATTTTCTTTCACGTTTAAATTGCCTATGAAATCCATCGAATCCACGCCAAGACTCGAACATTAGACCTCACATCATCTGACGCCATGCTTTACCATTGAGCCAGCAACTGGATGTGTCCCAATGAATAACCCCCCGTGATAAATTTACTTCGTCTTTAAGCTTGAAACAATGCGACATTTGTTTTTGAACTCCCGACTTGGCTGTGATTCCACTGGCGAACAACGTTAGGCAGGAAACCAATCCTGAGAAAATATAGTTCAAGATTCTGTTTTCAAAATAGAAGCATAAAATAATTCGGACGGGAAAGAAAAGGGCCTTTTCAAATTTAAAAAAAAAAAAAAATTTTTACAACCGTCCTTATATTATTGTTATTATTAAGATAATTACAATTCTGATAATTACCATTCTGATAATTATAATTCTGATAATTACAATTGTTGTATAATTTTTTTTATGACTGAATAATATCGAGTATGTGTGCGCGGAGTGCGGGAGTTGGTGAAACATCAAACTACTTTTTAAAGATGAAATAAATAAGGGGGAAAAATAAATAAGTGAATTCTAGAACAAAACTCTGGGAATATCTTGTTTATAGAAAGTGATTATCTATCTATCTATCTATCTATCTATCTATCTATCTATCTATCTATCTGGCTGTTTTTCTGTCTGTCTGTCTATCTGTTTGTCTCTCTCTCTATCTATCTATCTGTTTGTCTATCTATCTGTGTGTCTGTATCTATCTATCTATCTATCTATCTATCTATCTATCTATCTATCTGTTTTTCTGTCTGTCTATCTATCTGTTTGTCTCTCTCTCTCTCTCTCTATCTATCCTGTTTTTCTGTCTGTCTGTCTATCTGTTTCTCTCTCTCTCTCTCTCTCTCTCTCTCTCTCTCTCTATATATATATATATATATATATATATATATATATATATATATATATATGTACAAATTTCGTTAAAAAGGACTGACAAGGTACTGCGTTTTTTTTTTAACTCTTGTCTTCTTATAATTATTATAATTATATACGGCCTCATCCACATAAAAAAGGCTAAAAATATTGGAAGCATTATTAATAAAATAAGTAAAGACCAACACTTAGTAATATCAACTATGAACACGGCCACTATGTGCTGACCGTGTTTGGAAAATATAAAAAAATCCTCTTACTTTAGATACACACATAAATAAGTCCATACCTTCAGTTAAAAGTAAAAATAAAATCACCCTTGATAATGGCTAAAAGAAAAACCGAAAGCGCTCGAACAGACAGAACATTCGGACAATGTCGACATAATTTATCCCCAGAAAAGAAAAGAATATAAGAACAGAAGAAAAATTAACTAAAAAACTTAACAGCACTATCTTGTCAGTCGTTTTTAATGAAATTTATATAAAAGGGAAATTTTTGCCACACACACACACACACACACACACACACATATATGACTGGATTATTCATTTATTAATCCGACATATTTCAATTTATTGCTTAAACGTTATTAAAACGGATACCCATATTTGAGTAGATGCTTTGTTTTTATTTATTAAATAGTATATTTATTTATTTACACCTACCGGCCTGAATATTAGAGAGATCTTGTTAGAAAAATTCGAACCTGCGCTTACTCAAACATGGTTATCAATTAAAAATAATGTTTAAGGAATAAATATATATATATATATATATATATATATATATATATATATATATATATATACATACATACATGCATACATATACATACATACATGCATACATCTCTCTCTCTCTCTCTCTCTCTCTCTTTATTTATATATATATATATATATATATATATATATATAGTTAATACAAATAAAATGTGTCACTGAGCTGGTAGTTGTTATATTTAATACCCCAACTCCGGAGTTTCGTAGACGAACTTTTTCGTAATTGTTCGGTCCACTCGTCAGGTGGTTTCAGCGATTCACTGCGGATTTTCTCATTTTTCGTTATTTTTATGCTAAGTTTGACGCAATTAATTTATGCGCTAATTGGGATGCTGCTGTTACAATTATATTGGACCTACCACTACATCCCGATCAAGAAGACTAACATTACATCTCTCTGGTCATGGCTCAATTTGGCGCGGCTTTGCTTTTTCCGTCTCACTTTCCATCTTAGTTCATCCGCCCGAGCCTGAGGGTTGTATAAGGCTATTTCCTTGATTCGGGCAATGATGTCCAAGTATGATATACGCCTGATGGTTGTGGAGAAGTTGAGACCCTTCTTTAGTACTGACTCCTCAGAGGCACTCAGCTGGTGTAGAGTGATTTTGATTACGACCTTCACTGGCGGAGGGTGCTGTGTGTCACCTTCTGATCTTTCAAACTGTTTAATTTTTATACTTGGCGGGCCTTGACTGCATCGAGTTCGTGTCTGAAGGATTAATCCGAGGTCATGCTGGATTCTCTTTCGGTTTTCTTCGTCGGTAATTCTGTTGAAGAAGGCCTCGAGCCTCTGGAAGATATCTGATTAGGGTTTTTGTTTTATCCATCAGTCGTACTGGATTCTTTCTCGGTCAAGGGCGCGTCTCGCCTTTTCTCTTTGAATTGACGGGGGGGGGCAAGGCTGAGGGAACGAGTCGTAAGTCTCTGCATTGGTGTACCTTACTCTTTTTGAGTAAGTTCACGTCTACTTATTATCTCTCAGTTGGCGTCTCTGTCATTGGACAGAGTGCGCTCAGGGGCTTCTCTGTCAAAGGACAGAAGGGCAACTAAGGAAAATAAGACTGAAGAGGTGCCTAGCCCTGGGGAAACAGCTGCCCGAAGCCGCGCCCTCCTATTGCACCAAAAGGAGTGATCGGTGCTCGCACCGAGGCCAGCGCAACTGACGGTTGCGGGCGCTGAGGGGAATTTTTGTTCCTGTCCCGGGCGTACGCGCTCGGGTCCCCACCTAAAAATAGTGCCACATCTCGTCCAAGTGGGGGGGGGCAGAGTAAATACCGCATTGGTGTAGTAATTTTAGATGGTTCGAGATTCGTATCAGTTTCTGGTGGGACTTTTCTAATTGTCTCTATATTTTCGGTATATCGGCTCCATACCGATCCTTCATTGCCTGTCTATATTTCTGAGATGAGGTATCGTAATTATTTACACTATTTATATTGTTCGTTCTACTGTCTTCCTCTTTGGCAAACATATACATGAAATACTTCGAAGAAATGGCATTAGAAACAAAGCGAAGGTGACTTCCCTATTAATGGATTGATCCATTAATAGGGAAGTCACCTTCATATATCTAAAATTCCGCCCACTTTGTGGAAATAATCAAAGATGCTCCCATCCATTCCAACTAGATGGTAAGCCTGTACGTGGTAAGTTTGTTCACCATGGTTCCCACGGAGGAGTCACTATTGGTAGTCAAGGACAGACTGGTCTCGGACTCATCCCTAGGAGAACGGACCAGTATACCTGATGGAGATGCTGACTTTCTGTACACAAACAACACATTTCGGAATGGGAGCAAACATATATCAACAGGATAGAGGTTTAGCAATGGGCTCGCCACTATAACCAACAATGGCTAATATATACATAGAATACTTCGAGGAAATGGCATTAGAACCAAAGCCAACCTTAAAGCCAACCCTATGGTTGAGATACGTAAATGACACCTTCATACTCTGTCCATAATAGGAAGAGGTCCGGCTATTACTGGACCATGTGAACCCAGTAAGATCATCGATACAGTTCACAATGGATCGAGAAAATGACAACAATCTGCCTTTCTGGATGCACTAATATCTCGAAAAGAGTATGGGTTCAAGACATCCGTATACCTCAAGACAACATTCACCAGATAATACCACAACTTCAACTCTCACCACCCATACAGTGTAGAGAAATGGATCGTCCGCTGCTTATAACATCGAGCAGAAGGCATAAGTGGCGACCCAGAGACATGTGATCAAAAAATGGTCAGTATAAGCAGTACTGGGTCTCTCTCTCTCTCTCTCGCTCTCTTTCTTTCTCTCTCTCTCTCTCTCTCTAATATATATATTTAACTTTAAAGGAAAAAAAATTACAGCCTGATGATGGAGACACGGATCTTCGAAAGTACTTGCTTAACTTAAAAAAATACACACTAGAAACATCTGACAACAATTTTATAAATGAGGATCACATCATTCAATGGATTAACAGTATTTTAATGCATACATTATGTTCTACTAGCGAAGTGATTTCGCCATTAATCGCATTAATATTGCTGATCTATGTATGATTATTTTTCTCTCTCTCTCTCTATATATATATATATGGATAAAAACAAAAGGAAAACTTTTGCTAGTGGATACGTTTCGTCCTCTGATGGGCTTTATCAAAGCAAATTTTACTTTTCAACAAATATTTATAAACAAGTAAAAATGTATTTCCTTTATTTACATGATGGTGAGCCTGGACCTGGTAAGTTTACTCACCAATGTACCCACGGAGGAGACACTATCTGTCAGGGACAGACTAGCCTCGGACTCTTCCCTAGGAGAACGGACCAGTATACCAATAGATAACCTGATGGAGATGCTGACTTTCTGTACACAAACAACACACTTCGGAATGGAATCAGACATATATCGGCAGGATGAATGCTTAGCAATGGTCTTATTTTATCATCTCCAATGGCAAACATATGCATGGAATAATTCGCAGAATTGGCATTAGAATCAACATCACTAAAACTCTATGGCTGAGATATGAGGATGACACCTTTATACCCTAACACCACCAGGAAAATATCCAGCTACTACTGGACCATATGAACTCAATAAGATCATCGATACAGTTCACAATGGAGAGAGAAAACAACAACAGACTCACCTTCCCGGATGTGTTAATATCTCAAACAGAGCATAGGTTCAAGACATCCGTATACCGCAAACCAGCATTCATCAGACAACACCTCAACTTCAACTCCCACCACACAGAGACATATGAACAAGAATTGTTTAAGTATAAGCAGTACCCTGCAACGTAACAAGTACCCTGGGTACATGGCAGCAGCTTCGACAAACTAGGACAGAAGGTTACAAGATGATAACAGCACTTAGAAAACAGCGTCGGTCTGCCTACCCCATTTGACGGGATTATTGGAAAAATACAAAAGATCTATGGTCCATATAACATCAGGACGACCTTCAAAACGGGTTCAACACTTTGCCGACACTTCTTCCGAGTAAGAACCCAACATAGAGGAGAACATGACTAAGGACTGGGTGTACGACATCCCCTGCAGCTGTGGTAAGAAATATAAAGGAGAGACAGGCTGCCCACTTCAGATAAGACTGCAAGAACATCGTAAAGCCGTAACACGAGGGTAAATAGAAAAATCAGGCGTAGCTGACCACATAGATCATTGAAGACATCACCGAAAAATAAGAAAACTTAAGGAATCAGCACATATGCCAGGCCACAAAAATTTCTTAAGCCGTCCAAGATTAGAAATGAATACAATATGGGAACCAGTAATAAGGAGTGCTAGAGAAAAGCAATGAATAACAACAAAAATTGCAATATAAGCTCTGGTAAAAAACAGTTACTGAGACATTAAGTTTATAAGTCCCAAAAATTTATACACGAATGTCCTCAAGGACACATGGCCCAGTGGATAAAACGTTGGTTGGATTTAGTCACTTGACCCAAAGTGTTGTGGGTTTAATACCTGGCTACTGCAGTGGTGAAAAAAAATTTGGGGAGTTGAGTTAAAGGGAGATAACTGAGACATCCGGAAGAGGCATGGCACATGGAACTAGAACAAACTATCCCGGTGGACGAAATAAAGGGCTCAGTTCGGAGCGTACAACGGCGTAAATATGGCAACGAAGGTCAACAGTCCGAAGAATTTAAATAGTGTAAGTAATTAACGCCTCAAAAACAAAACTGCTCTCTATTACTCATCACAGAGAACCATCCCTGCCCCTCCCCAATTTGAATCTCTGACGCTCAACTTCTCGAGAGTTCCTTTTTCCGACTACTCGGCCTCACATTGACTGCTGACCTGAGATGGAACAAATACAGTGAGTCAATTGCTTCGTCCACCGCAAGGAAAGTTGGTTCCCTGTGCCGCGCCAGGAAATTTTTCTCCCCGGAATCGATCCTTCAAATCTACAAATCAACCATTCGCCCTTGCATGGAGTATTGCTGCCATATATGGTCTGGAGCCCCTTCTGTTTGTCTCAAGGTTCTTGATAAGATCCAGAGACGTATATGCAATTTAATTGGCCCTGACCTGGCATCTCGTCCGCAGTCGCTCTCTCACAGACGTGTCGTCGCCTCCCTCTGTCTATTTTTACAAATACTTTCATGGTAACTGCTCCGACGAGCTGCTTTCACTTGTTCCCAGACTTCATGAATTTAAGCGTTCTACAAGGCTAGCATCTCGCTCTCACCCTTTCACTGTCGAAACTGTTAAATGTAGCCGTCTCTTCTACTCCAATAGCTTCATGTCTCAGACTTCTCGCCTGTGGAACTCCCTCCCTTTTCCTGTTTCCCTGATAGCTATAATCTCCAACTATTCAAATGTAATGTCAATTGACGTCTCCAGAAGCCTTGATCTATCCCCTCTCTTTCTCTTCATCCTTTCCTCTGTCACTCCTATTTGGTCTCACTCCAACTCTCTGTAACCCCTTGCGTCCTAGTAGCTTCCCGCCTTGCTTAGGGTGAAACGCTTAAAAAAAATTACACTGCGTTATACCATTTTGTCTGTGTTGATGTTTTAAAAAATTTTATACTTTTTTTATTTTTGTTGTTTGTTGATTTTGTTTCTGCCGTGTTTATGTTCTCTTCATTGCTATTGATTATCAAACTCTTTACTTCGACCCCTCCCCACAACTTGCTTATCTTAAAATACGTGTGCCTACTGTCGCTTATCAATGCAGAGAAATTGACGCGACAAGACTAAACTATGATTTACCGTCCTGTTTTTTTTTAAGTTAGTAATAGACATCAGAACGTATGCTAAACCATAACTTAATATGAATTCCGTCGTATTTTATGTGCTTCTTTTTATTAATAGGAGCAGATAGGCTCACTATCGCCCGGCCCACACACCTCCCATATCTATTGAACAGGAGTAACGGTTCATCACTTGTTGGCTGATCAGGATATGGTTTACCGGTTTTTTCTTTCTTCTATCAGAGCCATAATGATTTGACTGTCTTAAATTTTTGGTGATCAGGCTAACCACTGGCTGTGAGGGTACCGATTTGGCAGTTTCGCGATATCTGCAATGTCATGGGTTGGTGTCCCTGCATATATTTCCGGTGGGCAACCCCAAGGTCACATTATGCTCTGTTCTTAGCCATGCACTGGCTAGTTTGTATGTTCTTTTGACTCTCGTCTCAAAACAAATCTTATAGGAATCACAACAAAAAGAAATCCACCTAAACCAGTAAACAACAACAACAACAAAATAAATAACAAAATAGCATCTACACCTTTCTTTGGTATCCGTTCCAACTTTTGTAGCAAAGAATCTTTTCTCCTAGAACGGTCTTCAGATATTTGTGAAACCAACCTGAATTCTTCCATTGATACCAATGAATTCTTGGTTCCAGACGATCTTCTCCTTCGCCGAAAAGATTCCAGCATTCACCTACATGGATTTGCTTTTTGCATCCGGGATAATCTTCCGATGACCAGGTCATTGTTTCTCGAGACGTCTGACTATTCTGTCATGTACTTAAGTCTTTCCTTATTAAAATTTGTTAGCTATCTCTTTTCCCTTTATCGCTCACCTCTTCTCAGGACTGCAGTATATTAATCATAATAGCTGAGTGTATAGTAAAGGCACTTTCTCTCCATCCATCTTCGAACATCTTTGTCTTCGGTGACTTTAATGTAGAGCACGATAGACTCTTGCCTCAATTATCGCCAGGACGTCAGCAGTTGGCCTGGAGAAACGAAAACCGTATTGCCTGCCTGAGAAAAGGCCCTGGGATGAGAGATGATAAACCAATTCAGCATTGATCAGGGCGTCTTGGAGTTTCCCAAAGAGAAATGAAATTCACTCCGCCCAAAATTTGGTAACTGCATGCTGTACTCTACATAGACAAGGTGTATCAAAAATACTTTTTGTGTGGGGCGGGTTCCTCAAACCAAACCAAGGCCAAAAGTCAATATAAACATATGTCCGCAAATCCTTAGTTTTTGAGTTATTAAGTTTAAAGAAAGTTTACGGTAGAATCAAGAACCCACTCCAAAAGTTTGCAAAAGTCTTTTTGGATTATATCTTGGATTGTACAATTAACAGCGTTTACAGTAAATGTTAAACTTGCACAGGTTAGAATGAAAGAAATAAAAACTGTATGTCAAGGTAATAGGCCTTGGGTTCTCTGAGGATAAGACGTAACCCTAATTCAGATTATATTAGTTACCTTATCACCTTCGAATTCTGGACACTGGAGGTGATAAGGTATCTAATTTAACTTGATTCATGATTACTACTTAACCTCGGAGTCCACAGTTCCCGTACAATTACCGGTGTTAAGCAACGTTGAGCATTATTATTGCCTAAATGGGTGACCGCTTGGGAATACAAGGTGCTGTAAACTTGGATGTGCGGGTGGTGTAATGGATAACGGTTCAGAATTGTTAATCAGAGAGCCCAGTTCTAATTTCAGTTGGGTTCGTTATATTCGTTACATAAACGCAAATACCATTGGGAAAGGTTTGAAGCCATCTCTTCTCCCTCAGCTATGGATTAATTAGTAAAAAGTTGTATCGCTAAGTGGGTTATTATCTCCAAAAGTAAAAATCAGGCCCGATGATTGCGTTTAAGCATGAAACAGACTGTCGCCTCTGGGTGTTGACTTCAATGTCAACATTTCTCTCTCTCTCTCTCTCTCTCTCTCTCTCTCTCTCTTTCTATATATATATATATATATATATATATATATATATATATATATATATATATATATATATAATTTGGGGGTTTAGGCAAATCACTATAGTAATTCATCGGGCCTAGAAGAATCCTCAACAACATGTAGAAAG